TATGTTTTTGGTGGAAGCTTGAAACCCTAGATTCGGACCCTGATACCCTTTCTATGAACTACCTGTTAATCTATGATGCTTTGGTCATGCATATGATTATATGAATCTATGATTCTGAGATTTTGATATAAATGGTCTCTGAATATGTGTTGCCTCGATGATGCCTGTGAGATTCTGAGATTATTATATAAGTGGCCCCTGAGTAAAGATGATGGTTGATTTATTATGAGTTCTGATTCTTTTGACAAGTGTTGAAGTTGCCTTTTTCTACTCTAACACTCAAATGAGTAGTTAGAGTGAACTGGTATCTTCTAAGTCTGTAGAGAAGTGAATAAGCCTACTGCTTATATCCTTCTGTAGATCAGCTTGCTGATTGTTCCAGACTTTAATTTCAATGTATGATGTTGTGTTCAATCTGGAAGCTTGCATTATTGAGTTTTTTGAACTATAACTTCCTATCATTTATCAGAATGGAAGTTGAATGTATGGATACCATACCTGCATCTGGCTCTCAACCTCCTCTGACTCCTGTTTCCCAAGAACCTATGATGGAAGCTCATGATGCTGGGGCTAACACCAGCACACAACAGACTAATGTTCCTGGAAATAAGAGAAAGGAGGTAGAGTCCAGATCTAGAATATGGGATCAATTTGAAAAGATCAAAGATAGTAATGGTGTTGTTGTCAAAGGAAAATGCATACATTGTGCTAAAATATATTGTTGTCAGTCTAAGAAGCATGGCACTTCCTATCTTAGAAATCACATACTGAGTTGTCTGAAATTGCCTGCCTCAAAGGATGCTAGGCAAGCCCTTCTCACTTTCCAACCAGTCTTGTGTAATCCAACATCTGAAAAAATTGGGGTGTTAGGGACTTGGGTGTTTGATCAGGTTGCAATTAGGAGAGCACTTGCTGAAATGCTTATCATTGATGAGCTGACATTTAGATTTGTGGACAGACAAGGATTTAGGAAGTTTATCTCTGTAGCTTGTCCTAGGTTCAAAATTCCTTCCAGATGGACAATTGCTAGAGATATCTACCAAATCTTCTTAGATGAGAAATTAAGTCTGAAAAGGTTGTTTAGGGAACACACTCAGAGGGTCAGTATAACAACTGACACATGGACCTCTGTACAAAGGATCAATTACATGTGTATAACTGCACATTTCATTGATAATGAGTGGAAGCTGAATAAAAAAATAATTTCCTTTGTTCCTGTGACTTCCCACAAAGGAGAGTACTAAGCTAAAGCCCTAGAGTCTTGCCTAGTAGATTGGGGTTTGAAATCTATCTTCACTGTAACTGTTGACAATGCAAGCAGTAATGACACTGCAATTGGTTTTTTTAAAAAGAAGCTTTTATCTTGGGGTGCCTCTTCTGTAAAAGTTAAGTACCTTCATATGAGGTGTATTGCTCATATCCTTAATTTGGCTGTCCAAGATGGTTTAAAAGAAAGTGATTCTTCTGTTCAAAGAGTGAGGGATGTTGTTAAGTATGTTAGAAATTCTCCTGCTAGGCTTCAAAAATTCAAGGACATTTCAGACTTGATTGGAATGGAAACTAAAGCTGGATTGCACCTAGATGTCCCAACTAGGTGGAATTCAACCTATTTGATGCTCAAATCTGCAATGTCCAATGAAAAAGTGTTTGATGCTCAAATCTGCAATGTCCTATTTGGTACTTGCTGTTTTGGAACATTTGATTGCTCAAACTCTAAATGTTAAACTGCTTTGTGCATAAGCAGTATAACTGTGTAAGTGTATAAGTAAGTACCAAGTAGTATTGGAGTAATGTGTATGAATGTATGAGTGTATAAGTGTTAAGTGTATAAGTTATAAACTTATAACTATTAGCCATGTGTTTGGAGTTGTACAAACTCTACTAATTTTGCAATTGCTTTTGATAACATATTATTATGTATTTTATTTGTGTTTGTAAAGTCTAATCCAACATTTTTTTTTCAAGGTGATTTTATGAATTATTTGTGTTATGTGTTTAATGGATTTTAATCAGCCCGAATAGCCCCGAGAACCGATTAAAACCGACCCAAATCCGAAATTGTGCAACCCGATTAGCCCGAAATATTTTTTGGACGGGGTAGGGTTTTATATTCTCAGCCCGATAACCGAAAGGGTATGCAAAAACCCAACCCGTCCTACCCGAACCCGTCCGACGCTCTCCCCTAGCTGGACCGCCTGCGGCGGATGACAAGACCGGCGCACGACGCCCTGTCGGTGACGTGACGGAAGGCGGCCGGATCTAGACGGAAGGCGGCCGCCTGGTTGGCCCCCTACGGTGATTTTCGTGCTATAAATAGCAGGCTATTTGTTGAGCTCAAACACACCATTCTTAGCCCGAAACTAGTTCAAAAAGGTCTTCTTGAAGAGGAAGAAGAAGACTTCTTCTTCCTCTTCAAATCTCGGATTTCCACAATTGTTGCACCTTCAACTTCAATCTTTCATATCTTTTTCATTTTAGCTCCAATTTGTAAGTTCTTCATATGAAAATTCATCCTCTCGTCGTGTAGATTCTGAATATATTGTTTTTATTTCCCAAATATTTGTGAAAAATTCTCTGAATTAATTTTAATAGTTTCGTATTTTCCATTTTAATTCAAGAAAATTAGATCTTTTTGTTATATTAATCTCCTACTTAGACAACCTCAATACCTAGTATAAATAATGTTTATTTGTGAAAGAAACGAATGCTTAGATGTTGGGAGTATTCACTTTAATATTTTCTTGTGTTGTTATTATTTATGATCATGTCTTATTTTATATGTAAAATGTTAAAATTAGTAATGAGTTGTTGTAGTTAATTTACTCTTGGGCATGAAATGAATTAAAGGAATATGGATTGACTTGTTAGCCGAAAATTAGGGGTTAAAATTAATTAATTGGACTAGTTATTCAAAATTGATGAAATAGTAATTAATAATTGTTAGCCATTCTCATTAATTAAATTTTGGAAAATTATTTCTAACTTGTCTATGGGATTAGAAAATAATTTGAGCCAATCATATTTAAGCACGTTAATAAGGCCTAGAAATAGGAAATTTTAATGAAATGGATTTACATCTTGAGAATTAAATTCAAATTGTTTAATTATTGAGTTTAATTAGTTAATGAATTTGGCTATTTTTATTGAACAAAATATTGGAGAATTATTTCCGTCTTGTCTATGAGATTAGAATTTAATTCAAGCCAACCATTTTTTAATACATTGATGAAACCTAGAAATAGGATAAATTAATGAAAGTAATTTCTATTCTTGTCTATGAGAAAAGAAATTATTAGTCCATTTTTTGTTTTAATTCCCCTAATTACTAGGTCCAAGAATATATCCATTTCTAATTATTCAATTCATTGCCCTTCTTTGATCAATCCATTTAGAGTTTAATATTTTTCATTTAGTTTATTTTTGAGCCATCATTAGTATTTGCATAATTTAAATTTCTTTCTTTTAAAAAAACTAGTTTAGAAAACCAATCAAAAGTTTTAATTTGGAAAGCTTCTAATAATTTGCGATAACCTGTGACTGAGCTTAAAATCAAGAAAATCCTCTGTCATTCCTCAAGAGACACGATAATCGGGGAAAAACCGAAAGGTTAGACTCCGTTTTACTACAACGCCGCGTAAGCAGTCATCAGTACAACATCAGCGTTACTACATGTCACAAATTCTCCTAAGTCCACCAAGTATTAAAGACAGCTACCTCGTCCCCCTCAAACTCATACTCTTCCACATTTAGAAAATATTCTAAGTCTAGAAGAGTGGGGGACTGGTAGATGGGGGACTCGGGAACAAAATCAAAAAGCAACACTACAATGAGCTCAGAACAACATGGCAACCTCGGGATCAATACCAAGCAGGTATATCTTGAAAATACAAACTTTGCACACACACAATAAATTATTTACAATTTTTCGCAAACAAATTTTATCAATCCACGGTCAGGGTCGTGGATGTAGCAACTAACCCATGAAGTAGGTTTGAGACATAGAGGACATGGAGCTCGAGCTCGGACCTCTTTGCAGCGGGGAGTCGCTTTCCTCTTCGGACTTCATGGCAAGGCGGAGTATACTCTTTTTCCCCCATTAGGATTTTTTCCCACAGGGTTTTTCCTCAGCAGAGTTTTTAATGAGGTACCCCTTTGTCATGACCACGGAGAGCAGCACTCCCTGCCGGGCGCACAGGCCCAGGAAATTGAAGATTTACTCTCTCTCACCTCAAGTTTCACTTTCACTTTGGAGAGTGAGGGACTCATGATGGAGTATATTCCCGTATACCCCAGGGGTATCATAATCGCCGATGAGAAAGCATCACGGGGCCACACCAGAGTGCGTGAAAAGACTAAGTCCATAATCGGACTGACCCCGACCCTGACCAACCAAGGTCAGGAATGAGCGCCAAACAGCAAAATGACTAAGGGCCAAAAAGTCATCCGACCCCGACCTCGAGGTTGGGAAAACACCAGGCTCAGGAATGGGCCGAACTCGGAAAGTTATGAGCCCGACCTCGAATGCCCGAGCTCGGCACCGAGCCCGACCTCGGAGGTCAAGCATATAGGCAACCAAAGTCAGAGTATCGAGCGGCCAACCACGTCAAAGGCATAACAATAGACAAGAGGCGAATCCCCTCGTGATGAGCCCGAGTCTCCAATCACTGACCCCGGTAAAGCTCTAGGTCAGGCCAAAGCATTATGTGCTTAGACAAATCCGCAAGGACCAGTACCGCAAAGAAGTAATGCCACGTCATCACTAGCAGCAGATAATGTGCCAGAATGCACACGCTTAACCACACGGGTATTCTGGTAGCAGTTTGTTAGAGATAATTCCAATCAACCAGCTATCCAAGACTATCTCTCCAATCACCTTTACATGTGGCTGTTCCCCATCAAATTAGACTGTAAGTTTGTTAGAATAGCTTTACACGTGTCCCCTTCCCATTTGATCACTATCTTTTTACTTGGGCACCAAGTATTGCCTTTTATCCCTTAGTATAAATATCACCTTCCAACTTGTGGAAAGGGATCACATTCTCTACTCCCCTACTGTTATACTGTCGGATTATCTGTCTGTATTTTCCAATCAGTTCACTCTCTTATTGCGTTTGGATTCCGACTACCCCCGGTCCGGTGATCCATCATTAAGTTTTCATTTTATATACTCCGTAATATGAAATTGTTTAATATTAGATTTAAATCAATTGAAACACATGTTGTCAACTTAAAATACCAACAATCAATTACTAGAAACACACACAATACTCGGTACAATAATTAAAAAAGAGGAAGAAATCCTAATACATTACAATAATGGGAAAAGCTACAAACAGTAGTAGCATTATTCAACTGAAATTAATGAAAACGGTAAACAACATCAAATTAAAGTAACCCACTACACATCGTTCCCGTGATGGCCCCACAAATGATTTACGAGATCATTTTTAAGAGCAGTGTGCACCGCAATGCTCTTGATGCGGTTGTGTCGCATCATGTAGTCGTGCAAAGTCGGGGCATCGTGATTAAGATCAAGCTGAATGTGCGGAACAATATAGTCATACTGCGCACTATAGTCATGAGTAATTGCATCATCATCAGTTTCTTCATACTCATTTTCTACAATCATGTTGTGTAAAATAATGCATGTGAGCATTATATCACGTAATATCTGTGTCTGATACATTCGGCCGGGTCCTCGCACGATAGCCCATCGCGTTTGTAAAATGCCAAACGGTCTTTCCACATCTTAGCGATACGCCCTTGCTTAGAAGCAAAGATGCATTTCTTGGGGGTGTCGGGGTTACTAATTGTTTTAACAAAAGTAGCCCATGTGGGATAGATTCCGTCGGCTAAATAATAACATTGATTGTAGATGTTATTGTTCACCATGTAATTTACCTGAGGAGCACATCCAATAACAACAACATCAAAAACTGGAGAGCATGCAAATACGTTAAGGTCATTGTTGGAACCCGGCGTGCCCACGGGCGTCTATAGATATTTTGAGGCCCAAGGTAACAAGGATGATTGTTGGAGTGAGAGGATTTTGTTTAAATTAAGCAATTACTCATTTTTCATACATTCATAAGTTATCATTAAAAAAAATCTTGGCAAAGAGTTAAATATAGCACCTTTAAATAGATTGTTTTGCTTAAATTGAAAACTTTAAAGCTAAAAGATTAAACTATTTTTCTATTATATACAATTTCAATTGCGGTTAAAGGATGGATTTACAAAAAAAGAGCGGTGCGATTATTTAAAATAATAATTTGTGAGGTTGATTTTAAATTGATAATGTGTAAAATAAAGTAAAATCAAATGAATTGGAACCATACAAATTTTATCAAAATATGATATGAGATAAACTTAATAGGCTTGGGCGGACGAAAAAAGTAAAGTGAGACAAGTATGGGAGGACATAGAGAATCAGGGATTAAGAAGCCATAGGATGATATCAAAAACCAACTTATTACTATGAAAAAATTGTGTATCGCGTAATTGTAAATCAATAACAAAGTGAAGGCGTACGTGGCCATAAACTAAAAATCATAATAAATAAAAATGCTAAGAGATATTTGTAAAAAATTGTATGCATAGGTTAACATCAATAGCAAACTTGTAAATCTATTATGTACTACGTAGTATTTTTCATTTTTTCTACTAAGTTAGAGGGAACTCCAAGAGATCAAAAGCAAATTATTCATTTAGTTTTGATAACCAATTCTCTAGATAAATTTTTACTACTAGTAATATGAATTAAATATATTATTACTAATAGGACATGAAAAATATGAGGTCCCACCAAATTGACAGGCCCAAGGCATTTGCCTTGGTAAAATGCCCTCATAGTCTCCACTAGGCGTGCCGAAAAATGCATGTCATATCCATGTGTCGTACGAAGCAACTGCCTCAAGCACAATAGTTGGTTTGTGCTTGTGCCCAGTGAACTGTCCCGCCCATGCCGTAGGGCAATTCCTCCATTCCCGGTGCATACTGTCAATGGAACCAATCATGCCGGGAAAACCTCTTTTTGTAGGCTTCTCAAGAAGACGATGGAGGTCATTGGGGTTTGGTGTTCGCAAGTACGAAGAACCATATGTTCCGATAATTGCCTTACAAAATTTCTTCAAACACAACAAAGTCGTGCTCTCCCCCAGACGGCACAACTGATCTAATGGATCGGCAGAGCAGCCATTTGCTAGCATGAATATGACACTAGTAATTTTTTGGTGAGGAGAAAGTGATACCTTATTTAGTGCATCTTTTTTTGGTGCAAAGAAAGGATCGGCTCGCACCACATCATTCATCATTCGATCAAACAAAGCCAGTTGCATGCGAAAATGACGCCGGAAGATGTGAGCGTTGTAAGTTGGATTTAGACTCCAATAGTCATCCATCAAACGTTGGTGGCCATCTTCCCTGCCTCGGTCAATGTACTCACGATGACCCCTAGAGCTTGAAGAAACAAGTGTCGCCATAACACCCATTCTCATACGATGAGCGTCAGCCTCACAATCATCATACTCATCTAAGGCTGCAAACATATCGGGATAAGAACTCTTGATGAATGAATATATTTAAAGGTATATAGACATGAGGAGGATTGAATGTGAGAAGATTGTGAAGTGAGGCATCTATTTATACAAAAATATTAAGCAAGTGGCAAGATATTTTAAAAACAAGTGGGTACTTATTAGATGTGAAAGGACATAACAAGTGGCTACTAATTACATGTGCAATGAACAACCAAGTTGGTACTTATTAGATGTGATAGGATAAGGCAAGTGGTGGTTTATTCAAACTTTTTAATAAACACAATTGAATTAAATAACGAAACTGAAATACAATTGAATTAAACAACAAAAACCGAAATACACTGGAATTAAATAACAAAAAGGAAAACTAAAATACACTAGAATTAAATAACAAGTACGAAAATTGAAATACATCGGAATTAAATAACAAAAAGGAAAACTAAAATACACTGGAATTAAATAACAAAAACGAAAACCGAATGACTATACCATCAATGCCCTAGTCAAATCTAGGAAAGTAGTCGTCCACATACGCGGAAGTGGCGGCATCTGTACTTGGCGCGTCTTTATCATAGCCCAAAATGGCATTTTGTTGTTCTCTTAGCCACTTCTACTTCCTCGGTGAGTACTGACTTAGGTCCATGGTTACGACATCTATATGTCTCAGTCTTGTAGTCACATCACACATCAGCATTCTCCTTCGCCGCCTCATACCTCTCCTCTCTTCTCTTTTCCATCTGCTCCCCTTGCTTCAACATTCTTTCCATGTACTCAAGCATCACAGGACCCGTCCTTGAATTCTTATTTTTTGCTATGTTCTTTCCCTTCTGTTTGTCACACCCCTCGGGGCGTCGAAGAGGACCACTTATACCATCGGAAGTAGATGAACCACTACTTCCTCCAACAAATGTATCGGGAGTGACAGAAGGTACGGACGTAAAAGTGGGAGTAGTATCATATTTTTGATACCACTTCGGACATGCTTGAAGTATATGCCAAGCATGGTCAAACTTAAAGGCTTTGTTATGATTGTCGTTTACAAATATTGTTTTAGCGGCAAACGTCTACAAGCACACGTTTACGTATTATATACCACTTCAGACATTGCTATAAAACACTTATCATATATTTTTGCTACATGTATATGTAGCATGCAAATATACAAATTAGAACGTACTAATATTTTTGCTACATTTATTAGATACTACTTAATATATATCTATAGTATATACGTACTAATAGATATTATACTATATACTATATATTAATGTAATATATAAATAATATTAGTAATATACATAATTATAATAGCATGTAAAATAGAAATAATGAATAATATATTCATGTAATACATAAAATGTTGTAATAATATTAGGGAGGAAATAATTTAAAATACCACATCGATTAGATTCGATCCACTTCTCTGAGTTGCATTTGCCTTTTGCAAACTCCCCTTCCATGATTGATAACTTTGAACCGTGATTCAACAGCCTCCCTAGTTCGAACTATCGTATTTGCTTTTTAAGCAGAACAACATGTCAACTCGGGACCAAAATGAATCGCCCGCTTGATTGATTCCGACTGCACCATCTTCAGATATAGACACCCAAGAGTTACACAAGAATACATCTTCATTGTAACTCCAATTAGAACCCCTCTTTTGTGAAGACATGTTATTACGTAGTATTACAAATTGATAAAAAATCAAATATAAAGTAGAGGAAGAATGATGATTAAGGTGTATTGAAATAAAAATATGAGTAGTGTTTATATAGAAATCTCAGTCCAATGTTTTATAAAAAATTATCAAAAAAGGAAATAAATTATTTTATCAGTTACATCTACTTTTCAACCGTTGGATGTACCTAATTTTTTTATGTGTATCAAGCAATTCTGGCCATCCGATATACCTACCTCCATTTGTTTTAAATAAATCCCATTTGTTTTTAATATATCCCTTGCTGCAAAAGTGAATGCCGAATTGAGTGGAGCCAATTCCACTCGCAAGAGGCAAGCAAAATTCCACGCACAAAACTCCACCATTCCTTTTTCTTTGCGCATGTCAGCTCCACTTTCCTCCTCTGCAGTACTCACTTCCGCACAAGAGGCGATTGCTTTCCTACACAGCGCTCCCTCTGTCCCAACAACTCACTCTGCCCCCCCCCCCCCCCCCCCCCATATAAATAATTATCTTCCGGTTGCAGCACTTTTGGGGGTGAAAACCTCACATTTGGGGTTTTCACCCCCCCCCCCCCCATTGCAATCACTCTTAGGCTATTAAACATTGAGAAAAGTGCCAGTTTGGTACATCAACTTGGGAGCGGGGGAGTAAAGAGTACATTATTCTGCCAGTAGGATTCAACGGTACATCAACTTGCCAAATTGGGTATAATTTCATCCATCGGGCTATTAGGTCTGGTAAAATGTTGACCAAGCCAATAGATTACTAATATGGCCTAACAATTAGCCACCTCAGCCGCATACACACACTTAGGAGTTTCTAAACCTAACTGTAGTGCTCGTTTGGGAAATCTGAAAGTGAAAGCATCGCAACTAAGAGCGTAGAGAAGAAGATTGAACACCCTAATTCGCAGATGGAGATGGGGTCTTCTAAAGCCAGGTATGCCAATGTCAGTTTCGTACTAACTTACTGCTAAGACATGTTTTACCTTGTGTATAAAGTGAGTATAAGTAGTTGAGCATTGAACATAAGTATATGAGATCCATTGCATGTAAATTAACTGTATGAGATGCAATGAACATATGTAGGGCCCTATTACTTAAATGGTAACACATTTATTATGAAACAGACAAGCAAAGGAGGGTCCTACTACTGAACTTCCATTCATTGTTGATTTGGGTTTTAAAGATCCAATTCTTGAGGCAGGAGCGGGTCTACTGTTTGAGGATGAGGCAAATTCTGAAAATGAAGATGATGAGGAGTTACTCCATGCTAGGTTTTTGCTAAAGAAACTGGTGATAAATTCAAAGATTCTTGGGAAAAGTAAAGACAACAACAATAGTGCTGCAAATGAAACACTGGTTGATGAAGAGGTAGGTTTGGAGGATGATGGCAATGACACAGAATATATCAGCTCAAGCGATGAAGGAAGTTACAAATCTGGTTCTAACAATGAAGAAGAAGAATTTGTAAGAGTAAAATCCAGATTTCCAAGCTTCAAACCAAATGACAAGGTTGATTTTACTTTGGGAATGAGCTTTGAGTCAAAAAGTCAGGTAAAGGATGTTGTGAATAAATACTCTGCGAGTAACATGTACCCCTTCTATTGGGCTAAAAACTGCTCCACCATGCTGAGGACCAAGTGTTCAAATTTGAACAAGACTTGCACATGGATGGCCTACTTTGGCATTGAGAACAGAAGTAGCAGTAAGAAGTGGGTGTTGAAGACCTACATCAAGGACCATACCTGCAATCCAGGCTGGCAAATTCCTAGTGCCACTGCAAAGTGGTTGGTGCAAAAAAAATTCAACACTAAGTCTGGTGTGTCTGACATGAAAACCAGTGCTATGAAAGAGATGGTTAAAAGAGAACTCAATTGTGATGTATCTCTGGAACAAATGAAGAATGCAAAATCAATGATAAGGAAGCAGGAAAAGGGAAATATAGAGGGTGAGTACAACAATTTGGAGGATTACAAAGCTGAAATCCTAAGGTCTAATCAAGGAAATACATGCATATTACAACTTAAGCAGCCCAGTGATGTGTTTGAAAGATTTTATGTATGATTGGATTCATGTAAGAGGGGTTTTCTTGAGGGTTGTAGAAGGTTAATTGGGATTGATGGTGCATTCTTAAAGTCTGAAGTAAAGCGAGAAATACTCACAACAATGGCAAGGGATACTAACAATCAAATGTTCCCAATTGCTTGGGCTGTTATGGGGTCTGAGACGAAAGCAACATGGAAGTGGTTTCTAGAGAATCTAAGAGATGATCTACAGATTGGAAGAGGAGCAGGTTGGGCATTTGTTTTTGAACAAAAAAGGTGAAATAGTACTGCAATAATAACTTTTTAAAGTGTTGCCATTAATGAATATTTGATTTGTTTGTTTCTGAACTTAACTTTGATTCTACGTCTTACATTCATTTTTTCCATGTTTCAGGGCTTAATGTCAGCTTTGTATGAGACTCTACCAAAGGTTGAGCATAGAAGATGTGCCAGGAACATTTATGCCATATGGAGAAGAACCCACCCTGGTCTGGAATTGCAAAGACAATTTTGGATGTGCTGCAAGGCTGCCTCCAAAAGAGAGTTTGAACAGAATCTTGAGGGCTTCAAATCTCTTTCTCCTACTGCTCATGAAGATATAATGAAGGTAGATCCTAAATTTTGGTGTAGATCATTCTTTGATAGGAGTATAAAGTGTCAAACTGTTGATAACAATCTTTGTGAGGCTTTTAATGGAGCAATAGTGCCTGCTAGATCTCAGTTAGGTTATTCTCAATTGGAGTATATTAGAAAGTTGGTTATGCAAAGGCTAACCAAAAATAGGGATTTAGATGATAAGTGGATAGGTCAGTTAGCCCCTAGAATTAGGAGAAGGATATATAACACCATAATGGCAAGCAAATATTGGAGGGTACATTTTAATGGGGCTGATGGTTATGAAGTGTCATGTGGTTCTGACACCTATCTAGTTAACCTTGCCAATAGAAGTTGTTTGTGTGAGCAGTGGGATGTGTCTGGGATTCCTTGCAAACACGCCATATGTGCCATTAGGGACAAAGGGCATCCTATAGAGGATTATGTGTCTAATTGGTACAAGAAAGACATGTATAGGCATATGTATTCTTTCATGATGACACCTTTAGCTGGTCCATTATTCTGGCCTAAAACAAACATCAAGGTCTTACCTGCTGCATTAAAAGAAAAAGAACTGGGCAGGCCCAAAAGAAATAGAATAAAGGAATTATGTGAGTTTCCAAGGAGTGGCAAGCTCCCCAAGAGAGGTACAACAATTACATGCCAGTTATGCTTCAAGAAGGACCGCAACAAAAAAAGGTTGTCTTTCAAAAGATCAAATAATGCAAGGAAACTCTACTTTTCCTTATGATGACATTGAAGCTGAAAGTTCAAACCCAGTACAGAATTCATGTACCTATTGCTCCCCAAAAGGCAACACTCAGAACCTTTGTCCTAACAAGAACAACCTAGATGAGGTAAATCACATCAAATGTCAGTTTTTAACATTTTGGCATATTCATATACCTTGGTATTTTTTAAGTGTGTGTATTAAATGTTGCCAGGAAACCAATGGTGCCAATGTACCTACAGCACAATCAAATGTTGGTGGTAGTACATTGCAATCGTATTTCACTGAAAACCAATGCTCAGAGGTTCCAGGTGGTGAGGGTGTATTCCAATGGAGAGGGAAAAAAGCAATTACTACTGGTGGTTTGGAGGTTTGCTTGCATATTACATATAAAAATGAGAAGGAAAATGAATGTAAGTAATGGATTGGTTTTAATTTGTGCAGAGAGTCAGAGCAAGGAATCCAAAAGAAAGGAATGCAAATGCTAGAAGATTAAGGAAAAGAGGTGCTGAAGAGGTGGAAGTTCATGCTGATGCCACAACTGCAAGACAAAGATTCCATGCTTTGTATGACTCCATGGAAGACAATGATGGGCATCAGTTAGCTTATGTAATGTTTTTTGGGAAGATCCTATTGCCATTTTTGGGCTTGTAAGGATATTAAACAATAGAAGATATGTATATGGGCTTATGGGGGTCATTTGCAAGATTTTTTTGTTATTTTTACTTGCATATGATATTCAGGTGATGTAGTTTTAAACTTGAAACATGTATATATTAAACACAATGGTTTCAATTCATGGGCTTTAGGTTCATGTATGTTGTGAATGAAATGTTTCATGTCAATGTTTTGAGGTCAATGTTGCTTGGGATGGTATTGAGGTGTTTATAGCAGGTCTGGTTTGAAATCAATGTTTTCATGTATGGTATTCATGTATGTATTCATGTATGTTTATAGCAGGTCAATGTTTTCATGTATGGTATTCTTGTATATAGTGAAGTCATATTTCAGGTCATATTTGAGATCCATATCAGGTTGAGGTCATATTTCAGGTCATATTTGAGATCCATATCAGGTCGAGGTCATATTTCAGGTCATATTTGAGGTCCATATCAGGCTGAGGTAATATTTCAGGTCATTGTTAAGGTCATAGTAATGCCATTGATTTCAGGTCATATTTCAGGTCCATATCAGGCCAAAAGTGACTTCATTGATTCACTGCTACTATATGGTCCATATCATTCAAAGAAACAGAGTCATACCTAAGCAACTCATATGAAATGGTCTAAATAAAAGTCAGCAAATGATACACCTAAATTACATCAACTTAAACTGATACATCAAACCTAAGCAACTGATAAATCATACCTAAGAACTAATACATCAAACATAAGCTGAAATCGTTACACCTAGTTCTGATACATCAAAGCTAAGATAGTGATACATCAAAGATAACAAAATGATACATCAGTTCATAAAACTTCCATTCTAACTCAATTCATGCCAGCATCACACACCTTCCAAGCTACCTTCTTCTTGCTTCCAGTGTCATTCAAAACAAGCCATATCACGACCAGCACTAATCCTGCAAGAATGCACCACAAGACACTCCAAATTCTCTGTTTTTTAGACAAGCCTTTTTCCTTTGCCTTCTCCTCAACAAGCCTAACTTCCAATTTCTTTATTTTCCTCAATAAACCAGGAATAATCATCGTGGACCTATAACACATTTCTTCATCAAGCCATTCGAACATGTTGCAACAGGCACCTGTACCCTATTTGTAATGATACCATTAATTCAAGAAGAATCAAAATCAACAACAAATTAAAAAAACATTTTTTTATCATTCGAATGCCCTTACTCTTGAGCAGGCGATGAATCGTCTTCCTCGATTGTCATTTGTCCATGAAATCATTATCTTTGCTGGAATTCCACAATAGCAATTTCCATAAGACATTTGTCTGCTTCTCAAACCTGTAAGCGAAATGGAATGCATTTCGTTTCGTCATGATCTGAATACAACAGAAGATTAACAACGAACACAACCTGCACCTTCGCTTGAGGAAGACGATATGCTGGAGGACGAACTCACCTTCACCTTCAACAACAAACTCACATGCATCGTCTTCTATTGGGCTTGTCTCAATTTCTAGGGTACGATTGGAGTATTTGGGAAGATGCTGACTTGGAGGCCACAGTTTACCACACGAAAGGCTAATTGTTAGGCCATATCAGTAATCCGTTGGCCAGGTCAGCATTTTACCAGACCTAATAGCCTGATGGACGAAATTATACCTGATTTGGCGAGTTGATGTACCGTTGAATCCCACTGGCAGAATAAGGTACTCTTTACTCCCCCGCTCCCAAGTTGATGTACTAAACTGACACCTTTCTCATTAAACATTATATTCAGGGTCTTATTTGATAACGACTAAAATGACTAAATCTCTTGAAGTGAAAGTCTTTGGTGATATATTAGCTGAATGTAGATTTACCAGAAATACTATTAATTTGTCCGGTTAGAACTTTTGAGCATTTAAATGTACTCTAAGATCATATAAGCACAACAATCCAGATAAATACAAATAGAGGAAAAGGCATTTTGCAGGGCAAATTTAGCTGGGTCACAACAAGAATTTGAAGCATTTTGGTTATCACATTAAAATCTACTCGTGAAACCCACAACACATCCATGTCTATTCTATAGATGCCCAACCTGTGAAATATATACTATTTCATGATTTGAACAACAAGCAAATGAAGAATTCATGATGATTTGAAGGCCTAGGGGCGAATAACTCTAAATGGGCCTAATCTTTAGGGGAAAAATGTACAAAAATAGCTTCATAATAATACTATTTCAAGACATTTACAATACAGAAAAATGTAAATTCGTTAAATTAAATATATTAGAATCACAGTTACAAAAAAAATAAAATAAAAAAGTATTCAATATATTTTTCGTTGAGCACTCATTGTAAAGCTAAGTCATCAACAATAGCTTCATAATCAAGCTTTTCTAACACATTATGTTCAAGGCCGTGCCTAATGTTGAGGGCATTCATGAGCCATTGAGGCATGGGCCTCAGGTCTCAAACAAATGTAAAAAAATTAGGGATCCAAATTTTCAAACACCTATATATAATTATATACTCAAATATTTTTCAATTGTTAGATTATTGATTTGTAAATTGTGAAAGAGCTAAGTTGTTAGTTCGTTGATTGCTATCATGTTGTTATTTTTCTTCTTCGATTTAAATTTTGTGTTTAACTTATTGAGTTTTTGTTGTAACTTGGTATATCAAAATGTTGTTGATTACAAATTAAATTCAATAGTTCTTCACTATTTATAAAATAAGATTTAAATATCTAGCACATGTGTTTTAAAGTATCGTAGCTTTGTTATTTGAAGTATTATAACCAACAAAAGTTATACTCGGTATTTAATTGCGTTTTAGTTATGTAATACATTCAGTCTTTTTATGCTTCGTACTACCTCCGTTCTTAAATAAATGTAACAAATGGAATTTCATACTATTCACAAGTTCTACTTTGACTATGTTTTATTTATTAATGTAGTAATAATTTATTGAATAGAGAATTAAATATTACGTAGTACTACGTATATTCTATGAATCAGCCTTTATACAACTATTGATAAGGGCCTTTATGTGAAGTTCGACTCATGTCCAAATATATATAGGATTGGCACTGATTATGCTCAATACATACATATATAATTTTAGAGAATCTTCAATTTTGAAAAATTTGTCTCCGCAGTGGCGAGCATTTTTGACACACCATAAAATTAATTAATTTGTAAGTTTCATTTTAATTGAAAACTTTAACCTAAAAAAATCAAGAAATTATAACACAATACTCAATAGATAACTAATTAACTATCAACAATTAAGAGTATGAACTAAAAAATTATGAACACTAAACAACCAATACGTCAATTAATGAAGAAATACGGAGTACTAAATTATTATAAACAAATCAACAACCAAGAATCAGAATCATCAATCATGAATGGAATATTGGAATCAATTAATAAAATATAAACTAATTTAACAAACTAAAATGCTAAATTAAGAAATAAGGAACTATGGTCGGGGGGGGGGGGGGGGGGGGGGGGGGACTCACCTAAAGAACGAAGGTTGTCGCTGATTGGCTTGATTGGTGAGGGCTGGAGGCGACTCTGCACCACGCAACACCAGATTATCAGAAGGGTGAGGTTTGAGGATTGAGAAATAATTAATTGAAGAAGACTGGTAAGCTGTAGCGGTTCGTTAGTTACGTTCAGAGTGAAGGCCCCAAATATCCGAAAATATTCTAAGTGTTTGGCTAATTTACAACTCAAAGGAATGGAGGAGAATATATTATATTCCACTTGATAAAACATTACAATTGGTGGCCTTATATAGGCATTACAAGTGGAGTAAAATAATCCCTAGGAAATACAATTTACCTTTCCAAGAAGACCTTTCATCTTTCCAATAAAAGTAGGGAAAGATAATTTATGTTCCCTTGGAAGTAAACTAATTAAGATTAATTAATTAATCCCAACAAATTCCTCCCCTAATCTTAATTCTCTTCGGTCTCTCATTCTGAGCCCCAACTTGCAATGCTCAAAGGTTGCGATTGGCAATGCCTTTGTGAAGATGTTTGTTGCTTGATCCCGGCTCGCTACGTGAATTAGACTGACCTCTTTGTTCTTCACTTGCTCTCGGATGAAGTGGAATCGAACATCAATATGCTTGCTCCTCTCATGGTGGACTGGATTCCTTGCAAGCTCTATTGCTGATTTGTTGTCAACACAAATCGTAGTCGGCTCCGTCTTCCCGAGCTCCAGCTCGGTCATCATCTTTCTCACCCAAACTGCGTGTCTTACACAGTATGATGCTGCGACATACTCTGCTTCACATGTTGACAAAGTTACAATCGGTTGCTTCTTTGATAACCAAGTGAAAGCTGTGTTTCCCAGATTGAAAACATAACCGGTGGTACTCTTTCGATCGTCTACATCTCCACACCAATCGTTGTCAGAATACCCTATCATTTTTAGCTCGGCCGACCTCCCGTACAATAGCCCGTGCGTCTTCGTCCCTTGGATGTATCTCAGGATCCTCTTTATCGCCTTCCAGTGAGATTCCCTCGGGTCCTCCATGAACCGACTGATAACCCCAACGCTGAAAGCCAGGTCCGGTCTCGTACAGGTTAAGTGCCTAAGACACCCGACCAGACTTCTATATAAGCCTGCTTCAGCTTGATTTCCTCCCCCAAACTTAGAAAGTTTGGTTCCAGTCTCCATTGGAGTCCTGACCGGCTTGCATTCCTCCATTTTGAACCTTTTCAGAATCTCCTTAGCATAGGCTTCTTGGGAAATAAATATTCCATCTTCGGCTTGCTTCACCTTAAGGCCTAGGAAGTATTTTAATAGTCCTAAGTCTGTCGTTTCAAATTCATTCTCCATCGCTTCCTTGAAATCTTTAACCATTTTTCCGTTGTCTCCCACAAAGATTAGGTCGTCCACATTCAGGGCGACAAACAAGACTCCATTCTCATTCTTCTTCACGTAGAGTGCGTGCTCATATGGACATTGTAGAAAGCCACTCTGCTTGAAATATGTATCAATTCGAGTGTTCCATGCCCTTGGTTCCTGCTTCAACCCATACAGAGCTTTCTTTAGTTTTAGTACTTTGTTCTCGTTCCCGACTCGGACGTACCCGGCTGGTTGCTCAACATAAACTTCTTCTTCCAAAGTTCCGTTAAGGAATGCTGACTTTACATCCATCTGACCGATCGGCCACTTCATCTGGGCAGCATATGCAATCAGTAGTCGAATTGTATCCATCCGCGCTACTGGAGCCTATACCTCGTCATAGTCAATTCCAGCCTTTTGCTTGTAACCTTTTGCAACAAGCCGAGCTTTGTATCGCTCGATCATACCTTCAGCATTGCATTTCTTCTTATACACCCATTTGACTCCGATCGGCTTATGACCTCTCGGGAGATTGGTAAGTTCCCAAGTCTGATTCTTCTCAATCGCTTTTATTTCTTCGTTCATGGCATCTCTCCATTTTTTATCGTGCTTGGCTTCTTCAAAAGTAATATCCTCCCCATCGGCTAGAAGACATACCATGTGAACCTCTGGAGCTGCTTCATATATGTCCTGTATGTTTCTGTACCTTTGCCGGCTCGTCCCTTCTTCTTCTTCCTCGTCCCCCGGGGTCGTCATAGATCCCGCCCCGATTGGTTCTGGTGTCATCCCGAGCGGGATTGGAATTGGGGTCCCGCTCGGGGTCTCTTCGTCATTTGAGGTCCCGTCCGGGACGTCCTCGTTATTTGAGGTCCCGTCCGGGACGTACTCCTTCTCTGTGTTCCAATCCCAGCTTCCTTTTTCATTTATCTCTACATCTCTGCTCACTGTGATCTTTTTCTCCTCGGGATCATATAGTCTGTATCCCTTTGTCTTCTCATCATAGCCAATGAAGACAAGCTTCTTGCTTTTGTCTTCCAATTTTGTCTGTCTCTGATCGGGCACATGTGCGTAAGAGATACTCCCAAACACCCTCAAGTGTGACACGGTCGGCTTTTGACCACTCCATGCTTCTTGAGGTGTTAGATTTTAAAGATTTGAGTGCGGACACCTGTTCTGTACATACACCGCACATCGTACTGCCTCGGCCCAAAATTGCTTTGGCATATTTTTGCTCTTGAGCATGGATCTTACCATGTCCATAATGCTCCGGTTTTTTCGCTCGGCCACCCCGTTCTGTTGAGGCGAGTACGGGGCGGTAAGGAATCTTCTAATTCCTTCCTCTTCACAAAACTTTGTAAAAGAGTCTGAAATGTACTCCCCCCCCTCGGTCTGACCTCAACGCTTTCACCTTCAGCCCGATTGTCTTCTCCACCTCGGCTTTGAAATTTTTGAATGTTTTAAAGGCCTCCGATTTTTCTTTTAGAAAATATACCCAAGTCTTCCTGGTGTAGTCATCAATAAAGGTGATAAAGTACCTTCGCCCACTGAAAGATGATGGCGTGATCGGCCCACAAATGTCCGTATGGACTGTCTCCAATGCTCCCTTGGCTCGGTACTTGGCAGTCTTCTGAAAGCTCGTCCGGGTGTGTTTCCCAAGTACGCAGCTTTCACAGAATTGCTTTGGAAAATCCATCTCGGGTAGTCCATGCACCAAGCCCTTTTTGCTCAGCTCGGCTAATCCTCCAAAGTTCAAATGTCCGAAACGTAGGTGCCATAATAGTGACTTGTCCGTCAGGTCGACTTTCAAGCACTTATGGTTTACGCTTCTCAAGTCCAACTTGTACATTCTGTTCTTGGCCATCTCTACCCAGGCGACGGCCCGGCCTCGTCTATCCTTCAAGTGTAGGTATCGACCACTTAGGTCGGTTGAATACCCTTTCTCCATAAGTTGTCCCATGCTTATGATATTTGTCTTCATGCTCGGGACATAGAGTACGTTTTCAATCGTCCCCTCTTGTCCATTCTTTTGCAGAAATTTAACCTTTCCTCGGCCTTTGATAACTACTTTTGATGTATCTCCAAAAGATACATTTCCTCCCTCAGCCTCCTTCAACTCAGTGAATAAATGTTTATAACCACTCATGTGGTTGCTCGCTCCGGTATCCAAGTACCACGTAGCGTCGTCTGTTAAGCTTCCTTCTTTGTGTGCTAGTAAGAGCACTCCTTCCTCATCTCCATCATCCTCATGCTCAGCAACATTTAGATTCTCCTCCGGTTTTGGTTTCGACCAACAGTCTCTTGCGAAATGTCCCCGTTTCCCGCAATTGTAGCATTCCCCATCGGGTCTGCCTCCCCGACCGCCTCGGGCAGCTCCTCTGCCTCGGCCTCTCCAGGTCGGGCGATGTTGGTCCTCCCGGTTCTGGTGGGTATTCTCCTCTCGGTTGTAGTCTCCTCTTCCTTGGCCCCGACCACGGAAGTGACCTCGGCCTCGGCCTCTCGGTTGATGGGCATACATTGCCTTCTCCTCTACCACCACAGTTTGTAATGCCTCTTCAAGCGATTCTAGCCGCTTCATCTTTCTTTGTTCATGTGCCTCCAACGACCCCGACAGGTCGTCAATGGTAAGCATCTCAATATTTCTAGCTTCTTCGATTGCGCATACCACGTTCTCGAATTTGTCCGTAAGTGTTCGTAGAATTTTTTCTACTATCCGACTCTCACTTACGGTTTCACCATTTCTCTTCATATGGTTTGCTATGGTCATCACCCGATTAATGTACTCGGTGACCTTCTCGTTCTCTTTCATCCGCATAGTCTCCAACTCTCCTCGTAGAGTTTGCAACCTCACTTGCTTTACTCTTTCCCCTCCTTTGAATACTCTTTCGATGATGTCCCAAGCTTCTTTTGAAGTTTCGGCATCGGCTATCTTCTCGTGGATGGTGTCATCCACTGCTTGAAGCAACCAAAACAGTGCCGTTTGGTCCTTCTTTTGTGCTCCTTCGAGTTCCACTTGTTGGGCAACCGTCAAGACGGTTCCTTCCTCCGGTGTTGTGTAGCCATTATCGACAACATCCCATACTCCTTGTGACTTCAACAGTGCTCTCATTTGAGCATTCCATCGGTCGAAGTTTGCTTTCTTCAATTGAGGTAGTTGGCCGAACATGGTGGCTGCCATCTTCTTCTTCAACAGTGGCTCTGATACCAATTTGAAGGCCCCAAATATCCGAAAATATTCTAAGTGTTTGGCTAATTTACAACTCAAAGGAATGGAGGAGAATGTATTATATTCCACTTGATAAAACATTACAATTGGTGGCCTTATATAGGCATTACAAGTGGAGTAAAATAATCCCTAGGAAATACAATTTACCTTTCCAAGAAGACCTTTCATCTTTCCAATAAAAGTAGGGAAAGATAATTTATGTTCCCTAGGAAGTAAACTAATTAAGATTAATTAATCCCAACACAGAGTTCGTCCATGTTATAAATTGTGAATTATATACATCTCTCGTTAGAAAATTCCACTTTTGGTCTCATGACTATTATACCACTTTTACATTTAGTCCCTTACTTTCAAATTGTCCATATTTAGTCCGTGATCATTATCCCCTCACCACCCCTCGTCCTTCTAGCCAAAATTCCGGCAAATTTAGTCCACTTATCAGCCTCAGAATCAGTCTTTGCATTAAATTTTATATAAGGTTGGGTTTTTCATATCAGTCTTTGCATTAAATT